TGTACATGGGGGGGGGGTTCCTGGCGCATAAGTCAGGAGGGAGTGCAGCGCGGTAGCGAGTGTCACTAGTGCGGAGGTGCGTAATGAGGTCAGTGACTGTGGGAAAGGCAGCAAGATCAGGAAAGAGGTACGGTAGCATGAGACGGCTCAGTGCAGCAGTGGCAGGGGAGGAGTAGCGCGCAACTACAGCGTCGTACAAGGTCTGAGCACTCTTGTACTGACTAAAGTGCGCACGCTCGGAGGTAGGGAGGTGGCGACGCACAGCAAGACGTGCAGCAGCGTCGCGCGTGGCCCACTGGGAGCGAACAGTGGCGTCAGCATCAGCAGCAGGGGCAGTGGAGGTGCCAGAGGTGAGGTCAAAGAGAGAGAGGCCGTCTGCCCTATCGCACTGTAAGAACAGCTGCAGGTCATCTACCCAGACCTCAAAGTCAATGGCCCTACCCTCAGCGTCAAAGGCGAGAACACTAGGGGTAGCCATGACCCTAGACGACTAGCAGCGCAAACAGTAGGGTGAGGACAGTGCAGTGAAAAGGCGCTGTGCTCACCAGACTGGGCAGGTCGGGCGGCCCTGAAGGAGGGCGGCGCGGCGGCTCGGCGGCTCAGCTGCTGGGCGGTCCGGCGGCTCGGCGGCTCCGCTGCTGGGCGGCTCTGCTGCTGGGCGGCTCGGCTGCTGGGCGGCGCGGCTGCTGGGCGGCTCGGCTGCTGGGCGGCTCGGCGGCTCGGCTGCTGGGCGGCTCGGCTGTGCTGCTGCAGGGCGGCACGGCTGGGCAGCAGGTGACGGGGCCGCAGGTAAGGGCGGCGGGGCCGCTGGTAAGGGCGGCGTGGCCGCGGGTAGGGTGGCGGGGCCGCAGATAGGGTGGCGGGGCCGCAGCAGAGGGCGGCGGGGCCGCAGGTAAGGTGGCGGGGCCGCAGGTAAGGTGGCGGGGCCGCAGGTAAGGTGGCGGGGCCGCAGCAGAGGGCGGCGGGGCCGCAGGTAAGGGCGGGGCCGCAGGTAAGGTGGCGGGGCCGCAGGTAAGGTGGCGGGGCCGCGAGGAAGGGCGGCGAGGCCGCTAGGTAGGGCGGCGGGGCCGCGCGATGGGGCGGCGGGGCCGCGAGGAAGGGCGGCGGGGCCGCGCGATGGGGCGGCGGGGCCGCGCGATGGGGCGGCGGGGCCGCGCGATGGGGCGGCGGGGCCGCTAGGTCGGGCGGCGGGGCCGCGCAATGGGGCGGCGAGGCCGCGAGGTAGGGCGGCGGGGCCGCTAGGTAGGGCGGGGGGGGCCGCTAGGAGAGAGGCGGCGGGGCCGCGAAGACGGGCGGCGGGGCCGCAGTGCAGGGCCGCTAGGGCGGCTCGACGAAGTGAGGGCCCGGAGCGCGACTCGGGCTGAGCGCGCTTCGGGCAGGAAAAAAAAATCGATGTGGTGGGCCCTAAGCACAGTTCCCAAGGGGGAACCTGCTCGATACCATGAGAAGATTTGAACAAGAATGAATGAACTATGAAATGAAGTGAGTACAAATATGAAACCCTAATTGGTTGTACCCCCTATGGGATACCCCACTATAGCCTACACAACAGCATAAGCTATAATGTTCTGACAGATCCCTTGCGCGTTGGCGCGCAGCTGCTCATTATTGGCAACGGTGACGTAGATGGTGGGGGCGCGACTGAGGTTCGCGACGTAGCGAACAGATCCCACCATGTGCTGTCCGCAGCAGCTGTCCAGGTACCAGGTGTTGTGATTGTCGGTGTTGTTTCTGCGCAGGAGTAGCGCCAGTCGCGGAGTGACCAGGGTTGCCTTGTAGCGTCTGTGGAAGGACAAATCTTCGTCTTCTTTCCATCCCACAGGTACGTAGTGCTGGTTGTCATGTGGCGGGCTCTCCCGCAGTGTAATTGGCAGGTGCCAATCTTGCTCGTCTTCGTCGTACTGGTCGTAGTGGTCTTCAGTGAGGGGATTATTCCAACCCTCTTCTGGTTCAATCAGTCCTCCGCGAAGTTCGTCTTCTTCGTCTAGTTCAGCAGTGCGACGTCGTCGTGTCGCCATGTTTGCGATGATGTTTCTAGGAGCTCCTGATTGAGATCCTTGTGACTGCTGATGTTGATGTTGTGCAGGGGGACGAGGTGTCTGATGCTGAGGCTGAGAATGACGAGCGTCTTGTCGGCCGACCCAGTTGTTGTGGTGAGTGGAATTTGGGTGGCGATAGTTGGATCGGGATTTGCATCGATCCGTTGAGTGTCCAAAGAGTTTGCATATTTTGCAATAGTGGCGCCTTGGTTGTTGTCGCCCTTCACGGTTGTCTGCGAAGAAGGCGAGGCGTTCTCGGCGCAACGCGGAGCTTGTTCTACTCGAGTCCATGTCCTGCTGTTCAGTCAGGAGTGCGGCGCATAGCGCGGCTTCTGAGATAATTCCTCGTTGTCAGAGTAGCGCTTTGCAGGGCTTCCACTCTGGCCCGAGTCCTTGAAGGACTATGTTGACGAAAATCTCTTCTGAGATTGCGCTCCCATGCTTCGTGATCTGGTCACAGATATTCCAACAGCGGTTAATATAAGAATTCGCTTTCTCCCTGTGCCCCATCTTTGTCTCCATGAGTTGCTGCAGAAGCCTGCTGGCTGTAACCGAGTCCTTCGGCTGATATACCTCAATGAGGTGCTTCCAGGCTTCCAAGGCTGGAGCGGCGCTCTCTTTGTAGGAGCGAATACTGAGCTGTTCCGCAGGCGTCATATTTCGCAGCAGCACGCTATACGCCATGAGGGACTCGCTGTAGTACTGAGCCCTGGCGTCGTCGGTGTCGTCCACCGGTTTAAGATAGGAGCCGTCGAAGTAATGGTAGATCTGCGCTGTTTGTAGGAGGAGCTCAAGCTCGAAACTCCATGTGTAGAAATCTTTGCCGTCAAATGCGGTAGTAGTCTTGATTTTCAAAACACTGAGGAAGCGTGCTTGCGCAGAGTTGATGACTTCATCGCTTGGACGGGGGGCAGTTGTTGTTGATTTGTCTATGTCGAGGGAGAAGGTGTGCGCGGCGGTATCACGGCCTTTCGTAGCCGGTTGTCCAGGTTGAGCTGGTTGGGAAGAGGTTCCCGCGTCGCCTTTGCGCAGTTCTTGGAGTTCTTTCTCCATAGTAGAAAGTCGAGCGAATAGTTGCTCGAGTGCAGCAGTGCCGATCGTAGTTGTCGCCTCATTTGTCGTAGCCGGGTTGGTTTGTCCTTCAGCCGTCAGATTTGCTTGGCCTCCGGATCCTCCGGCCATCTTGGTCTTGGAGCGTGTGCCGCTCGCCAGATCTTGGTTCGGCGAATTTCACGGAAGTGAAGGTGCGAAGAATCCCTGAGTAGCTCTCATACCATGTTACAATCCCAAGTGGGACTTAGCGAAGGATCGCTCAGGGTAGATCGCAGTCTAGTGTTGCAACAGAAGTTTGAATCTCAGGTCAGAGTGAATGTAAATGACTTAGTTGATAAAAGTATGCATAAATCGGGTTTATATAGGAATACAGAGGAATACGAAAAGACCTAGGCTAGCCATGTACTCTAAGGGGTACATACCCTTATTACAGCGAATTCAAACCGTGCGGCGGGGGAACCCGTTCAAAACCTGTTCCCGCTCTTTTCACTTCGAATGTTTCTGCCTGCATCGGTCTTGGTCAGACGGTTGCTGCGTCGCTTCGACTCTTCTGACTCCTCGACTTCGTACTCGGTAGAGTCGGCTCCTGCAGCATACAGGAATGCCTTCTCATATAATTTCATATCGTAACGGACCTTCATGTGCATAGAAGTTTCCTCGATATTTCGTTTCTTTACACTCACCATCGAGGTTTAGTTTCGATAATGTACAGCGCGTTACTACATTGATCCTGACTTCTCGACCCTGAACAATCAGACTATATAACTTCCCAACACTGAGCAATCAGGGTTACGTTTTCCTGGAAAATATGCACCCATAATCCAGGGGGGGATTTTTTCCCGGAATCAGGGAGGCCTAATTTGAAACGTCAGCCCTGATCACTGCATCTGAAATGATGGCGGAATTCGCTCTAGTTGGACGTCAGCGAACTGCATTTGAACGCGCCTTACAGTTCTCGCGAACATGTTTATAGAGGGTAAATCCACAAATCGCCGTGCGAAATCCAAGCCCCTGGGATTTGCCGGTCAATTGGCAGATTCCCTTCAGTCAGTCGTCTGACTGGCAGGCTATTTTGCGCATCAGTTTAGCCTGGCTACCGACAAATCGTCCCACCATTAGTATCTCCGACAGCTCATCTGTCTGTCACTCCCACCGTGAAATCGGACGGTCGAGATGCCGAAGCTGGTGCTTCACGGCACGGCGATTTCGCCGTACACGCGACGCGTGATCATGACGCTTTATGAGATGGGAGTGGAGGTACGAATATTAAGGAACGGATGTTTATGTATAGAGTTACTATTGTGTGTTCAAGTAATCGTGACGCAGTGCGAGATGATTACTAGACGGGAATGGATGTGTGTGGTTGAGCGTGGGTGACCGTCCCAGCCTAGTAGAAATGCATTCAGTACGAATTTCAGATAGCGTAGTACGCTTCGATCCGACGACAGAGGGGAGATCACGACGCGTTACGAAATGCGCGTGGAGATTATTTGATCACGGTCTCTCGTTACGAGATTCGCGTGGAGATTAGTGGATCATCGTCACGTGTTGCGACGTGATGAGTGCGTTGCGGAGTGATAAAATGATAACATGCACTGGAAGACTTCTGGGGTGCCTCCAAAGTGATAGTATGCTGCACTGGAAACAGGCATTCTCAACTGCATTGAGGCAGAAAACGCGCTTTCACATGTGTACAAAAGGAGGGTGAATGCATTGAGGCAGAAAATGCATCATGGGACGAGGGGAAGTGCGTGGAGGAGTGTTAGTATGCACTGAATACGGGCATCCTCAGCTGCAGTGAGGTAGACGATCACTTGGTGACTTTTGAGTCGACTCAAAAGTCACCGTGTTAGTATGCACTGAAAACGGGCATTCTCAACTGCAGTGAGGTTGACGGATCACTTGGAAATGCGCTTTCGCTTGCGTTCCGATCCATCCATGCATACTGGATCTTCGTTGTTCAGGTACTCGTGCGTTTCATTTAATCGTCCATGCATCTGGAAACCCTTTTTTTTTTCAGGATTTCGTGCACATTCCGGTCAGCCCACTCACAGGCGGCACCAAAACACCCGAATTCCTCAAGATACAGGTGACGTTCTCTCTGATCCCGTTTTTGTTCTGAGTGTGTGTTTGTATGCGTGTGCGCGCACGGGTGTGCATGTGAACAAGCCACTTGTTCAGTTGCATCCCTTTTACCTTTCCTTCTCCCTCTCATCACCCTCTCTTCTTCCTCTCCTCTCCCTCGTCTCTCCTCACACCCTCTCTCTTCTCCCTCTCCCCTTCCTTTCCTCTTTGTATTTCCTACCCCATCCGCCATGCATCCTCAGCCCTTCGCGCGAATCCCTGTGCTCGAAGACGACGGGCACGTCATTTATGGTATGTGATGCAACTGCCAACATCAGTATTGATCAGTGATACAAGGGGCGTGCGTCCTTCCCCATCCTCACTGCATCCTCAGCCCTTCGTGCGAATCCCAGTGCTGGAAGACGACGGGCAAGTCATTTACGGTAGGTGATGCAGGATGAGTGGTCAGGCTCTCCGTTTCCTTTCCTCTCCCTCTCTTCACCTCTCCATATCCTCTTCCTCTCCTCTCCATATCCTCTTCCTCTCCTCTCCATCTCCTCTTCCTCTCCTCTCCCGCTCGTCTACCTCTCCTCTCCCTCTCCTCTTCCTCTCCTCTCCCTCTCCTCTTCCTCTCCTCTCCATCTCCTCTTCCTCTCCTCTCCATCTCCTCTTCCTCTCCTCTCCCACTCGTCTACCTCTCCTCTCCCTCTCCTCTTCCTCTCCTCTCCCTCTCCTCTCCTTCTCCTCTCCCTCTCTTCTCCCTCTCCTCTCCACCTCCTCTCCCTCACCTCTCCCTCTCCTCTCCCTCCTCTCTCCCTCTCCTCTCCTTCTCCTCTCCCTCTCCTCTCCCTCTCCTCTCCCTCTCCTCTCCCTCTCCTCTCCCTCTCCTCTCCCTCTCCTCTCCCTCTCCTTCGTCCTTCCTTCCCAATCCTCTGCGTCCTAAGCCCTTTGTGCGTGTCCCTGTGTTCGGTCACTCAAGGGGCAGTGATTCAGGAACAGCCAGGTGGGCTGGGCGTCATCAAAAGAGCCTTGAATTGAAATCCCTTGATTGGCGTAGGAATATTACATGAATATCGTTTTTTTTTTTCGATAGATAGAACTCGCCTCATAGTCTTCTAAGGGTGAGCCGCGAGCGCAAGCAAACCAGTTTCTCTCCCCCTATGTGCCGTTCAGAGCTTCTCTCGTCACACTTATGGAAAACATAGCTGAGTCAACCGCATTATTCAGAAGCACAAGGACCAGAGCCGAACCTTTGTGCCTGCGCCGCCATTGCCGCTCCGCCTTTTCCAGACTCCCACATGTTTGTGCTATACAGAGCGGACAAATTACAAGGAGCTGCCCGTGTGCGTCCCAGACCTGCTTCCCACGTTTGCGAAGCTTAAGACTCATACTCTCCTGCTCCATTGTTCCTCCCGTGCCCCTTCCAGAGTCTCGCACGCTCATGAGATACATCGCGGACAAGCACAAGGACCGGGGGCCAGTGCTCCTCAGACCTGCTCCCCATGTTTTAGAAGCACAGCGAGCAGACTCCCTCCCTCTCCACCGTTGTCCCTGCTGCCCATTTCAGAGTCTCGCACGCTCATGAGATACATCGCTGACAAGCACAAGGACCGGGGGGCGAACCTCCTAGGAGAAACGCTCATGGTGGGTCGTGTTGTGTTGTGTGGCCTGCTGCTAGTGTTTGAGTGAGTATTCTTGAGTCGATTCGAAAGTCACGCTCCTGAGATATGTAGCGGACAAGCATAAGGACCGGGGGCCGAACCTCCTAGGAGAAACGCTCATGGTAGGTCGTGTTGTGTTGTGTGGCCTGCTGCTTGCTTGTGAGGGACTGAGATCAGATTACAAAAGTCACGCTCATGAGAGACATAGCTGACAAGCATGACCGGGGCCCAACCTCCTGGGAGAAACACTCGTGGTAGGCTTGGGTGTGTGGCACGTGAAGCATGGTTGCACGCTTGCCCCGGTTATGATTCTGGTTCTTGAGAGAGCGTTCAAGCCCCTTGTGCAAGCCCTCCATGATAGAAGTAGTGTTTTGAGACGTCTCAAAACCCTGATTCTGGTTCTTGAGAGAGCGTTCAAGCCCCTTGTGCAAGCCCTCCATGATAGAAGTAATGTTTTGAGACGTCTCAAAACCCTGATTCTGGTTCTTGAGAGAGCGTTCAAGCCCCTTGTGCAAGCCCTCCATGATAGAAGTAATGTTTTGAGACGTCTCAAAACCCTGATTCTGGTTCTTGAGAGAGCGTTCAAGCCCCTTGTGCAAGCCCTCCGTGATAGAAGTAATGTTTTGAGACGTCTCAAAACCCTGATTCTGGTTCTTGAGAGAGCGTTCAAGCCCCTTGTGCAAGCCCTCCATGATAGAAGTAATGTTTTGAGACGTCTCAAAACCCTGATTCTGGTTCTTGAGAGAGCGTTCAAGCCCCTTGTGCAAGCCCTCCATGATAGAAGTAATGTTTTGAGACGTCTCAAAACCCTGATTCTGGTTCCTGAGAGAGCGTTCAAGCCCCTTGTGCAAGCCCTCCATGATAGAAGTAATGTTTTGAGACGTCTCAAAACCCTGATTCTGGTTCTTGAGAGAGCGTTCAAGCCCCTTGTGCAAGCCCTCCATGATAGAAGTAATGTTTTGAGACGTCTCAAAACCCTGATTCTGGTTCTTGAGAGAGCGTTCAAGCCCCTTGTGCAAGCCCTCCATGATAGAAGTAATGTTTTGAGACGTCTCAAAACCCTGATTCTGGTTCTTGAGAGAGCGTTCAAGCCCCTTGTGCAAGCCCTCCATGATAGAAGTAATGTTTTGAGACGTCTCAAAACCCTGATTCTGGTTCTTGAGAGAGCGTTCAAGCCCCTTGTACAAACCCTCCGCAACAGCCAGCCACCTCCCCTACTTCGTTCCCGCGGTGATGATTCCGGTCAACGAGAGGAGAGGTGAACAAGAACTTTCTGGATCGCCTCCAGCATGCACCCTGCGTACCCCCCCGTTGCTTCACATCTCTCATCCTTTCTGTCACACCAGGAGGACTTTTGAGGCGCCTCAAAAGTCAACGAGAGGAGAGGTGAACAGGAACTTTCTGGATCGCCTCCAGCATTCACCGTATGCACCATACCCGCCCGTTGCTTCCCTCCTGTGATGGTTCTGGTGTTCCTGCCTCCCCGGCATGCACCATACCCCCCCATTTCTTCCCATCTTGCATCCTTTCTGGCGCATCACACCAGGAGCGAGCGCTGGTGAAGCAGTGGATAGACGTTGAGGGGCACACCGCCTCCCCTCCGGTGATGGTTCTGGTGTATGAGCGGGTGTTCAAGCCTCATGCATGCACGATGCCCCCCTTTTTCTTCTCATCCCATGCCACCCCTTTGCATTCTCTTGCAGGACCAAGCTTTGGTGAATCAGTGGATAGACGTTGAGGGGCACACGTTCTCACCTCCGGTGATGGTTCTGGTGTATGAGAGAGTGTTCAAGCCCCACTTGCACAAGCGCCCGTGCGATGAGGAGAGATGGAAGGAGGCAAGGGAAAAGGTGAGAGGAAGGGTGGAAAGGAGAAGGGCGTTTGGGCTTTTCTCTCCTCTAGTGGTGTATGAGCGGGTGTTCAAGCCCCACTTGCACAAGCGCTAATGTGACTAGGAGAGAGGGAAGGAGGCAAGGGAGAAGGTGAGAGGAAGGGTGGAAAGGGAGGGTGGAATTGAGGAGACAGTAGGGTGGAAGGGATGTAAGCTGGTTCTGGTGTACGAGGGAGGGTGGTCAACCGCATTTGCACAAGCGTGCTGTGATGAGGAGAGATGGAAGGAAGGAAGGGTGTCGGTGAGAGTAAGGATGGGAATTGAGAGGAGGGGAAATGAGGAGACAGTAGGGTTAAAGGATGGAGAGGGGATGTTTAGTGATTCTGGTGTACGAGAGGGTGTTCAAACCGCATCTGCACAAGTGTGCTCGCAATTAGGGGGGATGGAGGAAGCAAGGGAGAAGGTGAAAACAAGTGTGGAATGTGAAGGAGGGAATGAGGAGTAGGATTGAAAAATGGAGAGGGGAGGTGTAGTGATTCTGGGGTATGGGAGGGTGCTCGGAACCACTTCGCCTCGTTAAAGCCTCATCCACGCAAGGAGGGGAAGGAAGAGAAGGATAAGGTGAGAGAAAGGGGGGAAAGGGGAAGTGTGTAAGGGAGAGGAGACGAAGGGGGGGTGTCTGTGCACTTTCAGAGATACCCTTCCTGTCATTTTTTGCAATTCGCGTTTCTTAACCCTCCCTGTAGATAATGTTTTTATGCTGTTTTTTTTTCACGTCTCGTTTTCCTTCCCATCTGCTTTTTCCCCTTTATTCCCAATTGTCTTGTGTATTTTGCACGCATCTATCACGCATGCTACACATAATTGAGAAGTATCTGGGAAACTTCTTGGTTGGAAACTCGGTCACCCTCACAAACTTGACCCACCTTCCTGCCCCCTCCTTTCCACTCCTTCCCACCTGCTTTTCTTCTTCCCTCCTCATGCATGCAGCTCACTCATGGGTTGGACATATACGAGAAGCATCTGGAAGGGAGGGACTACCTGGTTGGAAACTCTGTCACCCCCACAGCCTTGACCCACCTTCTCGCCCCCTTCCCTTCCACTCCTTATCACCTGCTGTTCTTTTTACCTCTTCATGCATACAGCTATCAAATGTGTTGGACATATACGAGAAGCATCTGGAAGGGAGGGACTACTTGGTCGGAAACTCTTTCACACTCGCGGATTTGACCCACCTGCCCTTCACCGAGCTTTTGCCGGCCGCAGGGGGATTTGATTTGATTGAGAGCCGCCCGAACGTGAGCAGATGGTGGGCGCGGATATCGGGGAGGGATGCATGGAAGAGAACTCAGCAGCTGGAGCCGTATGAATTTTAAGTACTTAGGTTTATTGCGCAGCTCCACCTGATCGTGTTCCTGAACTGGTAAATCCTTTAGTGAACAGGGTGTTTGTAACTGCTGCTTATAAGTACAGCGAGATGTACAATGCAGTGTAGCGAGATGTGCATGCCAATAGTTCATGCTATCTACACGAACTTCGGCTCGCAAAGTATACCACCGCTGCCGCGCCGCCTCAAGCGAGCTTCACCCGAAACAAAACACAGAGCCTTTCGTAAGGGAAGTATTGAACGCCCATGAGATCACCATTCTCGCCATTGTTTGTACCCTTGCCGACCTTAGTCTCCGTCCCGTAGAGATTCAGCGTAGCGGATTCGATTTGAACGCGAACGAGCGCGCCGTCTTTCCCCGCAGCGTCGGCGCGGAACGTTTTTGCCCACTCGTTCCCGCTGTTTCCAAGACTGCTGCTGTCGAGAATCTCTTTCATCAGTTGCCCGTTGTACACGAGCGCAGTCGAATCGCGAATCTCGAAAACGCCGTCCGGAAACTGAAGGGGAACGTCGTCGGATAATGTTTTTGCAACTTCCGGGGAGCAAACCAGCGCAGATTCGTTTGCTGTAGCCTCCTCCAAGTCTGCACCACCAACGACTGTCACAATTTCGGATGGAGTTACATCGAGTGGTGCGTCCGTCACCAACGCAGGGAGGGTGATGGTTGGAATCACGTCCATCGATTTATTGAACACGAAATCGCACATCGCGGAGGGTTCTGGGTTCGGGCACGCGAGGGGGAACGGGGCGGAACCTCCCACGCCGCGGGTCTGGGGGGCGGCTCCGGGGCAAGGCGCGCTATCGGGGGCATGGTTGCTGGGCGCATTGACCTGATTCCCGGGAAATTTGAGCACGGACCGGCGGCCGGGGACGGACGGCTCAGATGCGGGAGCAGAGGCGGGATTCGCGTCGAGCGTTGACCGTCGTGGAGAACCATTGCCGCCGCGCAGCTGGCGGCTCATCATGCTGCGGCGCCTGGACGGCTCGTAGTATGCTGGGGGCGGTGCGGGTGCGAACGCGATCATGGACCGGCGCGGAATGGTAGTAGTACGAGTCGCTCCGGCGGCTGTTGACTTCGAGTGACCTTCGTTAGCAGTAGTAGTAGTACCGATCGGAGTGTCGGTGGCCGCTGAAACGGACGAATCCGTGTTGATGATGGATGATGTGGCGTCGGCGGGTGCAGCTCCGACGGCGCCGGCGGCGGGCGCGGCGGTTGCGGTTGACTCAGTCGAAGTTGACTCTGTTACCCGTTTTTTGGCCGCATGCTGCGGCGGCGGTTGCGCCGCGACGCCGTGATCCGTCGGAGCGAGGAGTACGTCATTGGAATTGGCAAACGCAGCGAGCAGTTTCTTGTCGTTCGACGGCTCGATTTTAGAAATCAGGTGCTGTTGGTACATGTCCCTCCACGTGACAGCAGCGGTTTCATCACTGCGGCCTGTTTCGAAACCCAGCTCAGCCTTGAGACTGTCGAAGCGGTGAATCAGAGGCTTCAGCAGACGACCTAGGAGCGATCGTCGAGGGCGAGGGAGAGCTGTGGCTGCGGGGAGATGGTTGAGTAGGAGAAGCGTGACGAGGGGCAGGAGAAGCACAATAAGGAGGGTACACTTTCTCGCCATAACCGAATTTGATGAAGGGGCTGTTTCTATGGTTTTGAATGAGCTAGGCGGTGTTACTGTCAGATCGCTGCAATCAAATGTTTGCCTGTGATGGTCGATTTTGCTGACTATATCCGCTGAATAATTCACGGCTATTGAAGAGGAATGAGGAACGATTGAAGTTTGCTGAGTGGGGGAATTTGTTGGTGGATGATGGAAGCACAAGAAGTTGGAGTATTTCAACAGCTACAATGTTTGTTCGACGAATCGCATCCCGAGCGGTGCGTTCGATGGGCTTGATTACCGACGGCTGAGATCGCGTGCGTGAAGTGCAAGCGTTGAATGTCGCGGTGTCGCGCTTCGGATGATCTGAGGAGGGTTGACCAGGTCCACCATACAGTCACAGGCTTTCGTAGGTCTGTCGTCCTCGTCACTCTAGGCCAATCTTACGGACTACGAGTTGGATTGTAGGGTGGATGGAAGGTGGTAGGCGTATATACCACGATCGCATCTGACCATGTGCGATCCACGGTCAGTCGCACGATCTGTGTTGTGGTGGAGTGGACTCGTCGTTTGGCGGCGTGGGATTTTCGTCAAAGGCAAATGTGGATGGAAAGTTTTCAGCTCGGACCGACCAACCTCTCCATGTCGGTTCGTTGTACAGTTGTCGACAGAATTCTGGATGTCACAGCAGTCCCGCGGGACAGGCTTCAAACTAGCGAATCGGTCAGCCGTTTGAACAAGTGCCGTGAACGGTGAGTATACCGGTTTGCAAGAATGTGGGACGGCCAAGAATAACTTCGTGTACGACATGTTGCAACAAGGTGAGACCGTGCGACCCGACCGCTACATCCACGATTCCGTGTGCATTGATCGAACGAAATGACCTCCCGTACCGACAACTGCACAAAGAGACTGCGAAAAAAACGAGCACGTGACTTCGTCCAGCTCACGCCCAAGCCTCAGCTTTCACCATCACCAACAAAGGAAAGTAACAACTTGCGAGATATGTTACCAAATAACAAATGTTCTTCGTTCATTCCGCAGGGTGTGCCCCCCAAAAAAATTGCCAGTCTTCTGGCGTCACAAGATCCCACAATTCGAATGTAGTTTAGGGTTTCTCCAAAAACTTGATCGTGGATAAGTAATGTGGTATAAAGAATTCAGCCAGTATCGAATATAAATGAGCAGCGTAACCCATGTTATCCCAGCCCAAGTTTATTTTCTTTCCTCCTCCACCTCGCCCCCCGCTTCGCAGAGGACGCTTAGAAGAAAGGAAAGGAAGCGATAGTTTAGCCCTGCACGACCCGGATTCGATCACTTGGCGAGTCGCGGCGCATGACACGTCCTCCGTCAAGCCGCTTTCGCAGAAATCCAGGGTTTCCACGTGTAGATAGTAGACTTCGTCTCTAAGCGCCTGTAGGTTCACCCGACGCAATCATTCGCCACGGTAACTGTTTCGCCTATGTTCCCGACAATCTGGTTTCCGCACCGTCATGTGCGCCGGCTAACTTGTACTCTCCTCGTTTCATCGAAATCCATCCTTCACAGCTTCTCTAAAGGGTTAATTTTCCCGGCGCGCGGATTTAGCGCTTCTGATGGACCCACGGCCGTTAGATCGGTCCCTGCTGGTTTGGCGGCAGCTAGATCAACGGCTGCGATTGGCGGAGGGGATAGCGGGAAGAACGGCGGAGGATCGGTTGCGCGAGCGTCGGTGCCGGTGGTGATTGTGGGCGCGGGGCCGGTGGGGCTCTCCCTTTCCATCATGCTCTCGCGTTTAGGTGAGCAGTAATGTACGCGTTCTAAGCAGATTCGTTAGTGCCGGTAGTGATTGTGGGCTGGGGGCCGGTGGGGCTCTCCCTTTCCATTATGCTGTCGCAAGTAAGCGAGCAGTAATGCACGTTACAGTACAGGCAGGCTTGTTAAATGCTCTCTCCCTCTCCCTCTCTCCAGGCGTTCTGAGCGTGGTGGTGGGGAGGGGGAGCATGGGCTGCACTGCAGCAGCATCCCACAGCTAGAGTAGCAGCAGTAGGAGCAGGAGCAGGGGCAGCATGCCGGCTCTAGATGGGTCACATTGGGGTATGCGTTCCCTTGTGGGGCTGCGCTTTCCTCTCCTCCTCTCACCCTCACATCCACTCCTCCTCTCCCTTTCCAGGTGTTCAGAATGGGGTGGGGGAGAAGGAGCATGGGCTGCAGCAGCAGGAGCAAGGCAAGGGTGCCGTGCAGGCATGAACGGCTCGCTCAGCTTCTCTCCTCCTCCCTCCCCCCTTCTTCAGGTCTTCGGAATGGGGTGGGGGAGAAGGAGCATGGGCTGCAGCAGCATCCTGCAACATCACTAGCAATGTCACTCATACGCTGTGCTTCCCCCTCCTCCTCTCATATTCTCATCCCCCTTTTACCAGGCGTTCCGAATGTGGTGGTGGAGAGGGAGAATGGGCTGCAGCAGCATATCAACTGCCGCCCTTTTCTCCCCTCCCCTTTCCTTCTCCTCCCCTCTTCCCAGGCGTTCGTAATGTGGTGGTGGAGAGGGAGCAAGGGCGGCAGCAGCACTCGCAAGGTTGTGCTTCCCTCCCCACATCTCATCCGTGCATATTCTCAACTTCCTTTTACCAGGCGTTCGGAACGTGGTGGTGGAGAGGGAGAATGGGCTGCAGCAGCATCCCGCAGCGCATCTTATTAACAACAGAACCATGGAGGTGCGCCGAAGAATGCATGATGGGATGTGGCATGTGATGATGTACGGTCACTATGATGGCATGAGATGATGTACGGTCACTATGATGGCATGTGATGATGTACGGTCACTATGATGGCATGAGATGATGTACAGTCACTATGATGGCGTGTGATGATGTACGGTCACTATGATGGCATGTGATGATGTACGGTCACTATGATGGCATGTGATGATATACGGTCACTATGATGGCATGTGATGATGTACGGTCACTATGATGGCATGTGATGGATAGGATAGCATGTGATTTTGTTAGCCATGCCATGCCATGTGAACAGTATGGCATGGCAATGGCTCGGTTTGTTTTGCTCAGGCACGGGTCAGCCAGGTCACTTAAAAGGTGCGCCACCTTCCATCCAGTTGACGTGAGGTGAGGGAGTTTTTGAGACGTCTCAAAAACTCCCTCACCTCAAGGTGCGCCACCTTCCATCCAGCACTTTTCACCACTTTACTGCACTTTTCTGCTCCTTTCAGCTCTTTTCAGCTCTTTTCAGCAGTGGCAAGGCAACCATATGTCACGTAAATCCTATGGCATTGTTTGCAACGCAGAGGCACAGGTCAGGCAGCCCACTTGAAGGTGTGTTTACTCTTGTTGTTTGAGCCTTGGCACGTTAACTTCCAGTATAATCACATGTTTTCCCATCCATTTCCTATCCTGTATAATCAGGTTCACCCATATCGCCAACACGTTTCAGACAATTTGACCCCCTTTACAGTCACATCATGTTTACTCTGGAATTTTCTCCCTCTCTCTCTAATGGTCCTTTCATTGAAATAGTCGTTTTACATGCATACACGAGTTATAGGTTTCATGCATACAAAGCAATCTGGGAATTTTCTCGCTCTCTCTCCATCCTTTTTCCCTTCCAAGTGTTCCTTCCCTCTTATCCTACTCCACATGTTTCGCCTTTTAAGTTGATTCAAAAGTCACTTTGTTTCGCCGTCGGGCACAACCGTTTCTGACAGCTCCTGTACCTTCCCTCTTATCCTACTCCAGGTGTTTCCCCTCATGCGCCCCCTTTACAATCAACTAATCTCTGTCTCACTTCCTTCCCTTCTTTCCTTCCAAACCTCCCTCCCCCAGATTTTTTGCCTCATGGGCCCTCTTTACAATCACATCACAAGTCAGCAGCCCCCTTTAGAGGAGTGGCGGTCGTTTGTGCACTGCGCGCACATGCTGGGGCGGGAGCTGGGGTTTGAAAACAGGATGATGTTCGTTCCCCTCATGGCCCCCCATTCTCAATCACTTCACGAATCAGCAGCCTCTTCCCTCTTTCAATGCTCTTGTTCTCTCTATCTCCCTTCCCCCCACTGGCACCCACCCCCTCCCACCCCGGTCCAATCTATCGCAGATTTTTCGCCTCATGGGCCCTCTTTACAATCACATCACGAGTCAGCAGCCCCCTTTAGAGGAGTGGCGGTCGTTTGTGCACTGCACGCACATGCTGGGGCGGGAGCTGGGAAAGCAGGATCACTTCGAAGGGCAGGAAGGTAAGGGAGCGGATGGGAGGGGAATGGAAGTGGGTGGAGAGGGGTTGAGAGCGGTGGTGCTTGCGTGTGCAGTGCACGCACATGCTGGGGCGAGAGCTGGGGAAGCAGGATCACTTCAAAGGGCAGGAAGGTAATGGAAGTGCGATGAGGGAGAGGGGGGAGTGGGGTTAAGAGGAGTTATGCTCGTTTGTGCGCCCTGCACTGTGCACTGCACGCACATGCTGGGTTGAGAGCTGGGGAAGCAAGATTACTTCAAAGGGCAGGAAGGTGAGGAGAAAAGGGGGTGGGGGGGGGGAAGAGACGGGAAGGGGGAGGAGAGGGGTTTAGAGGAGTGGCGCTCGTTTGTGCAGTGCACGCACATGCTGGGGCGAGAGCTGGGGAAGCAGGACCATTTCAAAGGGCAGGTAGGTAATGGAAGGGAGGGAAGGTGCAGCGAGGAGATGGGAAGTGGGTGGAGAGGTGTTGAGAGGGGTTGAGAGGGTTGAAGTTCGTTTGTGCACTGCACGCACATGCTGGGGCGAGAGCTGGGGAAGCAGGATCGCTTTAAATGGCAGGAAGGTAAGGGAGGGGATGGGAGGGGAAGGGAGGGGGGAAGGGGAGGGGAGGGAATTTAGGAGCGTTTTGTTTGTTTGTGTGCGCTGCACACACGTGCTGCTGTGGCACGTTTCTCACAGAACTGGTTTATGCCACTGCTGCTGCTGGCACAGTCACCATCTGTCTCTTTCTCTTGATCCCTGTGCGGCTGTGCCCCATCTCCTCTTGAGACGTCTCAAAACTGACGCAGCGTCTCTTTCACAGTATCCCTGTGCGGCTGTGCCCCATCTCCTCTCCCCCTCCCCAGGCCTGTCGCACGTAAGCCCAGCCTCTGTGGCCCATTCTGAGTCGACTCAAAAGCCCAGCCTATCGCACATAAGCCCAGCCTCGGTGGCGCATTTTTCCCAAAACAAGCTGATGCCGCTGCTGCTGCTGCTGCTGCTGCTGCTGATGCCGCTGCTGCTGCTGCTGCTGCTGCTGCTGCTGCTGCTGCTGCTGCTGCTGCTGCTGCTGCTGCTGCTGCTGCTGCTGCTGCTGCTGCTGCTGCTGCTGCTGCTGCTGCTGCTGCTGCTGCTGCTGCTGCTGCTGCTGCTGCTGCCGCTGCTGCCGCTGCTGCTGCTTCCGCTGCTGCCGCTGCTGCTGCTGATGCTAGAGCAGGCACCATCCGTCTCTCTTTCTTTACCCCTGTACCTCATCTCCTTCCCCCTCCCTCCCCTCATGTGCAGGCCTATCGCACATAAGCCCAGCCTCTGTGGCCCATTTCTCGCAGAACAAGCTGCTGCCGCTGCTGCTGGAGCAGGCAATATCGGATTCACGCTTTTCTCAGCAGCAAAAACGGTTACCACAATATGAAAATCGGTTACCACAAGATGAAAATTGGTTACCACAAGATAGAAATCGGTTACCACACCAAGAGCGGTACCCAGAACACGAGCGGTTACAACAAGATGTGGGGTTACCACAGAGCAACGGGTTACAGCTGCCACCTGTTCTCTTTGGTTACGCCACTGATTCCTTCTCCCACGTTCAATCTCATCCGTCCATTCCTTCCCGCTCCTCCACTCTGCAACATCCTACCAGCCCCACTCAACCCATCTCTGATCATCCTTCCACCACTCCCACTACCCCTTCCTCTGCCTCTCCCATTCCCTCCACCACTCCCACTACCCCTTCCTCTGCCTCTCCCATTCCCTCCACCACTCCCACTACCCCTTCCCCTACCATTCCCTCCACTGCTCCCACCACCTATGCCTCTCCCTCCCCCGTCTCTCCCCCTTCCTCTTACTCCAAGTCTTCTACTGGCTCCCAGACCATCCCCTTTATAAGATCAGCATCGGAGAAGCCTATAAGAGTTAGCCTCCGCGCTACACCGAATTTGGAATCCTCCTTAGAAAATTCTCTGACTCAGAACCAGCAGGAGCAGTACCAACATCAGCTAAAGCTGCAACATCAGCAACGTCAGCAGCAGCACCACCACCAACACACAGCCGCATCCTTCCTGCCGCCTCCTCTTACCTCCTCCCCTCCTCCTCTCAACTCTCTTCCTCCTCTCCCCCAAAACCTTGAGATTGACTGCTCATACTTGATTGGCTGTGATGGCGCTAACAGCAGCATCCGGGCGGCGAGTTTTGTCCCGGCTCAACCATCCCAAAGACCAGACGAGTCAGGCGACGCAGCCAATCATAGCCGCGGAAAAGAAGAGGCCGAGCAGTTGTTCATGCAGGGGCAGAGGGGGGGAGGGGAACTGCAGCAAGTGACAATGCAGGGGCACAGGCAGTTGCAGCGGGTGCTGTCGGTGCATTTCTCCTCGCGCCCGCTCGGGTTGAGACTGCTGGCGCTGCCCCGCTTAGCGATGCTCTATTTCATTTACAACACAGAGGGGGTCGGTGTGGTGGTGGCGCACTGCTTGAGAGAAGGAGAGTTTGTCGCCCAGGTGAGGGCACTGAGGCACTGTGGAAAGGGTGTGGTTGCGCTGGCTGCCCCGCCCCGCCATGCTCTATTTCGTGTACAACAGCGAGGGGGTCGGGGTGGTGGTGGCGCACTGCTTGAGAGAGGGAGAGTTTGTCGCGCAGGTGAGAAGTATGTTTGAGGCACCCCAGTTGTCGCTGCCCCGCCCTGCCATGCTCTATTTTGTTAACAACAGGGAGGGTCAGGGTGGGGGTGGCGCACTGCTTGAGAGAAGGGGAGTTTGTCGCGCAGGTGAGGAGCACGTTTGAGGCACCCCAGTAGGCTCTGCCCCGCCCCGCCCCAGTAGGCTCTGCCCCGCCCCGCTCCAGTAGGCTCTGCCCCGCCCCGCCCCAGTAGGCTCTGCCCCGCCCCGCCCCAGTAGGCTCTGCCCCGCCCCGCCATGCGCTGCTCTGTGTACCACAAGGGAGGGCGTGGGGGTGGGGGTGGCGCACTGCTTGAGGGAAGGGGAGTTTGTTGCCCAGGTGAGGGAATTGACTGGCTTGAACACAGGGAGCCCCACCTCTCACACCCCTGCTCTAATTAATGTACAGCAGGGGAGGGCGTGGGGGTGGGGGTGGCGCACTGCTTGAGGGAAGGGGAGTTTGTTGCCCAGGTGAGGGAATTGACTGGCTTGAACACAGGGAGCCCCACCTCTCACACCCCTGCTCTAATTAATGTACAGCAGGGGAGGGCGTGGGGGTGGGGGTGGCGCACTGCTTGAGGGAAGGGGAGTTTGTTGCCCAGGTGAGGGAATTGAGAGTGTTTAGCAGCTTGGGTAAGTTGGATTGTTGAGTGCGTTATCGCATCCATCCATACCCCCTCCCTCCTCATTCTCCCCACTCTCGTCGTTCTTCTCATCTTACTTATCTCGTCTCCTACTCTCCAACCCTCCACTCCGCCCACAATACATGCCCCCTCCTTCTTGCCCTCCCCTAAAACTCTCCATGGCTTTTGATAATTCTCAACAGTGCCTCTTACTCTCTCCAACCCTCCGCCCACATCGCATTGCCTCTTCCTTCTTCTTCTTCCCTGTGGCTCCCCATGTCCCAGATTCCTCTCTACTCGGACGGCAAGAATGTGCCATCACAAGAGGTAAGTGATTTGATTATTTTTTAACGGTAGCTCAGCCAATTAGGACTGAGAATTTTGTCCCATATGTAAGCAATCAAAGGAGGTGAGTGGTTCGATCATATTTTCTAAGGCACCTCCACCAATCAAAGGTGGTAACTTCTGTTATCAGGGTTCGGACTCGTGCAAAACGTCAGGGATGCACACTACTATGGTGCGGTTCACACAGGTTGACAGATTGGTAAGCAACTTGAGTTTCCAGGGAGATTTTTCTGTTTCATGATTTGCTTCAAGCATGCGTTTTTTCCCTTGGTTGTGCTTTGCTGCTGATCTCAATCCCCTCTATCTTACTCCTGCCTCCCCACCTCATGAACACAGGGCTGCGAGCGCATGGTGCGAGCAGGCAAGCACTGAAGGAAATCCCCCCACTGAAGAATGAGGGAGTTCCTTCTCACATTCTTTCCTTCAGTCGATCTCTCACAGGGCTGCGAGCGCATGGTGCGAGCACTCGGAGACCCCGTCGTTAACAGAGACCCCGCCGTTAACAGAGACCCCGCCGTTAACAGAGACCCCGCCGTTAACAGCACTCAGAACCATCCACTCTGTCAAGCCGTGGATCATGGCCGCCCAAGTCGCCTTCTTCCCTTTCCCCTGCATTCCCTCACTCTCTCACCGCCAGGGCTGTGAGCGCATGGTGCGAGCACAAGAAGAGGATTCATCCCTCCCCATCGCCATCTGCGTTGCCAAGCCCTGGATCATGGCCGCCCAAGTCGCCTTCTTCCCTTTCCCCTGCATTCCCTCACTCTCTCACCGCCAGGGCTGTGAGCGCATGGTGCGAGCACAAGAAGAGGATTCATCCCTCCCCATCGCCATCTGCGTTGCCAAGCCCTGGATCATGGCCGCCCAAGTCGCCTTCTTCCCTTTCCCCTGCATTCCCTCACTCTCTCACCGCCAGGGCTGTGAGCGCATGGTGCGAGCACAAGAAGAGGATTCATCCCTCCCCATCGCCATCTGCGTTGCCAAGCCCTGGATCATGGCCGCTCAAGTCGCCTCCCTCCCCTTGTCCCTCCACCCTTCTATCCGCTCCTTCCCCTCTCACCTATCAATAGGACTGTGTGCGCATGGTGCGAGCATTGGTAGGGGATTCATCCATCCCCATCGCCTTCCTAATATCTCGTCATTCCCCCATGCCCCCCTCTCACCTATCAATAGGACTGTGAGCGCATGGTGCGAGCACTCATACGGGATTCATCCATCCCCATCGCCATCCGTTCTGCCAAGCCCTGGATCACGGTGGCTCATGTCGCCTCCCTCCTGTTCCCCTCCCACCCCGCTCACTCGTTAACAGGACTGTGAGCGCATGGTGCGGGCATTGGTAGGGGATTCATCCATCCCCATCACCATCCGTTCTGCCAAGCCGTGGATCACGGTGGCTCATGTCGCCTCCCTCCTGTTCCCCTCCCACCCCGCTCACTCGTTAACAGGACTGTGAGCGCATGGTGCGGGCGTTGATAGGGGATTCTTCCATCCCCATCGCCATCCGTTCTGTCAAGCCCTGGATCATGGCTGCTCAAGTCGCCTCTCACTACCTCGCTGCACCGCCGCCAACCCCTTTACACCGCCCAGCACCAGCATTGCTTGCGGCTTCGTCCCACGTCGCCTCACAAAACCTCTCCACACCACCACCAACCGCTTCGCACCACCCGATACCTTCGCACCACCCGGCACCAGCACTGGGCAGTGAGGGGCATAACACTGGGGAGGGGTACGACTCATATGAGCCGCGTGTCATCCTAGTCGGGGATTCAGCCCACCGCTTTCCCCCGGCTGGTGGCTTTGGTACGTGTGTATAGATACCTTCAACCGCTTCACACCGTCCATCACCACCAGCTCCGGGCAGTGAGGGGCATAACACTGGGGAGGGATGCGAGTCATACGACTCATATGAGCCGCGTGTCATCCTAGTACGGGATGCAGCCCACCGCTTTCCCCCGGCTGGCGGCTTTGGTACGTGTGTGTAGAATAGAGACCTCTAGCTCCCATGTCAGTTCCAATCCAAACATGCGAAACATGTGGCCAGTGAGTGAGGGCGTCTCTCTGGGGAGGGATATGACCCATATGAGCCGCGAGTCATTCTAGTGGGGGATGCGGCTCACCGCTTCCCACCAGCTGGCGGCTTCGGTGCGTGTGCATGTAGACCTAGCTACCATGCCAGTCGGCTTTGCTCTCTTTGTGGAGTGACCACTTGCAGAAGGGTGACAAGCAGATAAGGAGGGATATGAGCCGTGTGTCATTCTAGTGGGGGATGTGGCCCATCGCTTTCCCCCGGCCGTCAGCTTTGGTACGTGTGGACGTATAGACCACCCCATGTCAGTTCTGAGTCGACTCAAAAGGTACGTGTGGACGTATAGACCACCCCATGTCAGTTCTGAGTCGACTCAAAAGGTACGTGTGGACGTATAGACCACCCCATGTCAGCTCCAAAAATGCACATGATGTGGGCAGTGAGGGCGAAATCTTGTGAGGGCGACCCCTCCTCCCTTCCAACCCTCCGCCCCACCCCAACCAGGCATGAACACGGGCATTCAGGACGCGCACAACCTCGCATGGAAGCTCGCAGCTCTGCTCCAAGGCACCGCCTCCCCCGCCCTGCTCTCCACATACGAGGCAGAGAGGCGCCCAGTGGCCGTGGAAAATACCCATTTGAGTGTCAGCAACTTCGAGTCTGCTCTGGCTGTCCCCAGAGTCCTGGGTCTGGAACCCAACGCTGCCAGGTGTGTCCACACCCACTGTAGGCGGAGAGGGGGAGAGGCAGAGAGGCGCCCAGTGGCTGTGGGCAGCACTCACCTGATTGTCAGCAACTTCGAGTCCGCTCTGGCTGTCCCTCGTGCTCTGGGTCTTGAACCCAACGCTGCCAGGTGCGTGAGTGCCGACTGACTCCTCTCTCTCTCTCTTTAGTGGAGCCAGTGGGTCAAGAGCTCTGCTCTGCTCTGCTCCAAGGCACCGCCTCTCCCGGCCTTGTACGAGGCAGAGAGGCGCCCAGGGGCTGTGGGCAACCCTGGGCCTGGAGCCCAACGCTGCCAGGTGCGTGAGTGCCGTGCCGACTGACTCCTCTCTCTCTCTCTTTAGTGGAGCCAGTGGGTCAAGGGCTCTGCTCTGCTCCACCCTCTCCCCTCCCCCCCTGCCCTGCTCGCCTCGTACGAGGCGGAGAGACGCCCAGTGGCCGTGGGTCCCAGTGGCCGTGGGTCCCAGTGGCCGTGGGTCCCAGCGGAGGGAAATACAAACTTCAGTTCAGTGTGAATAACTTCGAGTCTGCCCTGGCCGTTCCCAGAGCCCTGGGTCTGGATGGAGCCCAATGCTGCCAGGTGCGTGAGGGAGTGAGTGAGCATGTATGTGCTGCAGAAGGAGGAGGTGTAGAGGCCTCAACGTTGCTGAGACTCTAAGAGAGTGCTTCCAAGTGGGGTGGGAAAGGTGGATAGTACATGCTGCTGAACTCTCTACTCTTGAGAATTCTCAAGTTGTAAGTCGATTTTTGAGTCGATTCAAAAATCGACTTACTACACGCGGAAAGGTGGATAGTACATACATGCTGCTGAACTCTCTGCTCTTTGAGAATTCTCAAAAGGATGTAGAGGGATGCACAGTTGGCGTGACCAACACTCGCCTTCCTTCCCTCCTTCCCTCTTTCCCTCCCCCTGCCGCCCAGCCTTTTCTCAGCTGCCCTTACCTCTTCAACAGCCAATCAGTTCCTGCCACGTCAGCTCCAGGCGACCCTCATAGAGGCTGGGCTATCAGCAGGGCGACAGCTGCTGCTCTCTGATTGGCTGCTGAACCCAGCCAATCCTGTGGGAAGAGAGCGGCTGGCAGCGGTGCAGAGGAGTTTGGTGGAGGGGAAGAGCCTGCAGCTACTTTTCCCACAGCACGACTTGGGTTTTAGGTGGGAATGGGTGGAGGTGGGTGGGGACGGGTGGGGATGTGTGGGGATGTGTGGGGATGCATGGGGATGTGCATGGATTGGTTTGGAGGGGTAGGGTTGGGTGCAAATGCTTGTTGCCCCACTGCACGCTGCAACTGGGACTCTACTCACCACATGCACACTTACTGGACTCGTCCCCCCGTTCTTCTCACCCCTCTTCACTTGCAACTCTCTCCAGCCCAATCCCCCTCGTAGGTACAAGAAGGGTGCCCCGTCCCGATCTGCCTCAGACACCCGTGAAGCAGCAGATTTTGACTCGCAAGCACATGCTGCCAGCTCCACCTCCTTCACACCCTCCACTCTCCCGAGCGCTCCTTTTCATTCCTTCCCATCCCTCCCTTCAGGTACAAGAAGGGCGCCCTGTCCCTGTCCCCTTCAGACGTCCCTCAAGCAGCAGCATGCGATTCCCACGCTCGAAGAGCCACCTCCACCTCCTTCTCATCCCTCCCAACCCCCATCACAGGTACAAGAGCGGCGCCCTATCCCTCTCTACTTCAGACGTCCCTCAAGCAGCAGCATACGATTCCCAAGCTCGAACAGCCAGCTCCACCTCCTTCACTCCCTCCACTCTCCCCGGCGCCCGCCTGCCACACCGCACGCTCACCCTGCTGCTGCCCTCCGCTGCTGCAACAACGGGCCATCAGTCCAAAGAGCCGCCGGGTGCAAGCAGCACACGTGGGTCCAAGGGAACCGCATCACCTCTCGAATTCGAAATCGTACGTTGCCCTTTCCCTTTCTTCCCACCACTCCCTCACGCTCTCCACTCTCCCCGGCACGCACCCTGCCACACCGCACACTCACCCTGCTGCTACCCTCTGCCGCTGCAACATCGGACCATCAGTCCAAACAGCTGCAGATTGCAAGCAGCACACGTGGGTCCAAGGGAACCCCATCACCTCTCGACTTCAAGATTGTAAGTTTCTCTTTCTCTTTCTCCCACCTCCACCTCTTTCACGCCCTCCACTCTCCCTGGCGCCCGCCTGCAACACCGCACGCTCACCCTGCTACTGCTTTCCGCTGTTGCTGCAAGGGACCATCAGCATGCACCTAAGGAACACCAGAGTGCAAGCAGCATCAGCGCACACAGGTCCCAGGGCACCCCACCCCATCTAGACTTCCAAATCGTAAGTTCTTGTTCCTCTAATCCTATGCTTAGTCTACTGGCCCTCTCTATTCCTGGTGTTTCCTTGCCACACCACACACTCGCCCTGCTGCGCTTCCCTGCCAAACCTGCTGCACTGTCAGAAAATCTCAGCAGCCCACCTGCCGATGGAAAATGTAGACCCTCGGTTGAAGGGCACCTCTTTCCCCAATTCCTCCCCACCTTGCTGCAATCTCTCTCCTCTTGGCTTGGCTCCATCACTCCCACTCTCCTCCTCCCTCTCATCCACCACACTCCCCTTTCGTTCGTTTTTTTCCCAACTCACTCCTGCCAATGCCAAACCCACTTCACTCCGCCCCTCTCGTTCCTATCCCTTTTCCCATCCCGTCCCACCATCACAGGTCCCTTCTCTCTCTTCCATCGACTCTCTCCGCTTGGCTCCATCACTCCCACTCTGCGCCTCCCTCTCCCCACACACTCCTTCACAAACTCAAATCAACATTTCTCCATCTCCCCACAGTCCTTCCCAGATTCACTTCACCATTTCCCCCTCTCTCTCCTATGCCGCCCCTTCAAATTTCCTTGCATGCAGGGCCCTTCTCTTTCCTCCATCGACCTCTCTCCTCTCGGCTCCATCACCCCCACTCTCCTCCTCCCTCTCGGCCCCCACACTCCCCTCTGGCTCGCCTCCTCTCTCCGCGCACACTCCCTCACTTGCCTCCCCCTCCGTCTCGTCCTCCTCGCTCCCCACCCCTCCTCCTTCTCCCCTCTCCCTTCCCTCCTTGCTCCTCTCGGCCTCTGCGTAGAGCCTGCTAGCACGGAAGGGGGTGGTGGTAACCGTGTAACAGGGAAGGGAGTCAGTGCAAGCGAGTTTAGAGGTAACAGTGTAACGGGCTGTGCAATTGATGCGGGTTCGCCTTCACCCTGCCTTCTCACGCCTTGGGTCCTCAGGCCCATTCCTGATGGTGGCATTGCTGCTGCCGCTGGTGGCATTGCTGCTGCCGCTGCTACTGATGCTGCTCGTTCTGCTTCTGCCCCACCTGCTTCTGCTACAGCTGCTACAGCTGCCACTGGTTCGAGTCACACGTCTCTTGAAGTCATTCTCTTGACAGACCGCATCCCACCCAGGCAACAACACGCCGATACAGCCGGTTCAGCTGGTATGGGAGAAGCAGCGAGCACAGCAGAGGAGAGGGGTGCAGAGAGGGGGGAGTGGTTGGCATGGTTGGCAGGGGTGGGGGAGTCGGGTGCTGTTCTTGTAAGGCCTGATGGGCACGTGGCATGGCGCATGATGCACCCACCTGCTGCTGGGACTGGCAGTGGTGCTGATGGGGTTGGCAGCGGTGCTAATGGAACTCGCAGTGGTGCGGCTGGTAATGGCAGTGGTGCTGATGGGACTGGCAGTGGTGCTGATGGGATTGGCAGCGGTGCTGCCAAATCTTGTGATGGTGTGCAGTCACATGAGTCCATGTCAGAAGCTGCTGATGACATTGCAGGAGCTCTGCGATGTGTATTTGGATGGGAGGACTTATATCAATTGCAGGAGCAATTGCATTCATAGTGCAGTGTACATTTAAGTTACAAGGTGTACATTCTGGAAGAAACGTCTATTTGTTTTTCACTAGTAAGAGTCCAGATGTTTGCAGATTATCTCCTTGTACATATTTTCCAAAAACAAGATTCGACGTTAACGTCGGAAGGATTGCGTAGCAACTATATTTTCTGTACCAAGACATGAGAAATGCTTTTTATTATATTTATGGTAGAAAACGACGAACTATGTTATCACTCTTTATAACAGGCTTGTTGTCACAATCGGGTGTATTTTGGATTGTAAGAACTGGTTCGTGTCTGGTTGGCACAAAATTTTCCTTGCCAGCGCTACACAATCCCAATCCCTCCCCCACAAACTCTGCTGCCTTCTTGGGAGGCCCGTTTCTTGAATTCAAGAACTACATCTCCCCTTCTCTCCCCACCCCAAATACCTTCCCTGTTAGGCCCGCTGGCCTAAATCCGCTAAAGATTAGCGTGGTCGACTAAGTCGAGGAAAAACGTGGCGGAAGACTTTGGCGAAAGAACTATTAGCGAAATAGGCGAAGAAGTTACTGAGTAATAATTGAATGAGAATTGGTTGAGAATGGATTGATATTGGCAAGTACAAGAGAGGTTTATATAGCGAACAAGAGAGAATGTTGGAAAGTAGTTTGTGGGACTATGAATTGGAAAGCTAGAAGAGTAGAGTGCCACGTGTCACAAGGAAATCTGGGAAATCCCAAAGGGATTGGATGAAGATAAGGTTGGGATTAAATTGGGGGACTGTTTAGGGTAAAATACCCTTGAACAGTAAAGTACCCCATAACACTACCCCCCTCCCAAAGAGACGACGTCCGCGGCGCCTGCAGACTGAAGGTACGCTTGAAGGCAAGCGTTGTCGAGAGACAGCGAGGACGAAGGAACCCAACTGTCGTCGGCTGCGTCGTAACCACGCCAACGAACCAAGAAGTCGATGAAAGAGACACCCCCCTGGAGACGGCGACGGTGCCTGAGGATGCGCTGGATCTGGTAGTCGGGCTCGTCGGTGTCAATAGCTACCGGCAGTGGAGTGCGATCACGGCCCGAGAAGGTGGCGTTGGGATCATGCGTAAGGACGAAGAAGAGACACGTGGAATGACGGATGCATGCGGAAATGAGCGGGAAGGCGAAGGCGGTATGCGACTGGACCAAGTGCGCGCTCAATGACAAATGGACCAATGAAGCGTGGACGAAGCTTGCTGTCCTGTGACAGTCGGGGGTTGCGGCTGTCTAAAAGGACATGGTCTCCGTCTGAAAACGACACCTCACGACGACTGCGGTTGGTGGTGCGTGCCATGCGTGCATTTGCGAGCTCAAGGTGCTTCCTCACGTGGTTGTAAATGAAAGTGAGATCCTGATGGAAGTTGTCGGCACGTGGGATTGTGGGTGTGAGATCGACACGAGTGGGGACATTGGGGTGCTGACCATACAGTGCGAAGAACGGTGACATGCCTGTTAAAGTTTAAAAGAGAGAAGAGAAGAGGAAAAGAAGAAGAAGGGGGTTGCACTAGCAAGAATGAGGATACAAATAGCAAACCCTAGAAGGGTTGTACTCGCTATAGAGCACCCCACTACAGGCTAGAGCATAAGATAACATTCTGACACACCCCCATAGCCAAAGTGGGGTGTAATCAGCAGAGCAAGAAAAGCAGTACAAGCTCAGGGTGGATCACAATGTCACCACACATTCTGAGCACAAGTTCAAGAAGGAATAGTTTAAAAGGTACAATTATGAGCAAAGCTAGTGGTAGTCACAACGGGCAAGCGAGGAGGAGGAGAGAGAGTGAGGGGAGAGGAGATAGGAGGCGACGGCTGAAGCTGCAGACACACGGGCAACAGGAGGCAGACTGGCACAGCGGCTACCGGACTAAGCGCCCGGACTACAGGAGTAACAGGCCCCGCGGCTAAAGTAGCGGCAGACGAGCAACGGACCCACGGGCGGCTGGCGTAGAAGTCTACGACTGGGCTACCGGACGAAGTCCCCGGACTACAGGTGCTGCTGGCGACACGACGGCAACCTCCGTGCAGCTTCCCCAAACTATCCCACTCCCCCCTGGCACACACCCGCTGCTACACCGCTAGCTCCACTCCCACGCACCCCCCTTAAACCCTAAACCCCAGTCTCCCACACAACCACCCCCCTCAGCGACAGCTGCAGCAGTGGGAGACGAAGGAGGAGGAGGAGCAAGGGGAGGAATGCACACACCTGCCACCCCCCAACCGCCACCCCCCAACCGCCACCCCCCAACCACTACCCCCCAAACCCTAAAAACAGGGTAGGGAGGTAGGGGGGGGGGGGGGGGGGGGGGGGGGGGGGGGGGGGGGGGGGGGGGCAACGCGCGGTCCCCGGTAGACTCCCCTCCCGTCGCCTGTCGAGGCGACCCTGGGGGGGGGCCGCTTGCGGCCCCCCCCAGGGCGCCGCGACGGGCGACGGGAGTTGGGCCGGGGCAGGTCGGGGCCGGGGCAGGTCGGGGACGGGGCGGGGCAGCAGGGGCCGCGCACGGCTCCCCTGGGCAGCGCGACGGGGCAGCAGGGGTCGCGCGCGGCTCCCCTGGGCGGCGCGACGGGGCTGTAGGGGTCGCGCGACCCGCCGCGCGCCTCGGGGCGCGCGGCGGGCAGGAAACCGCCGCGCGCCTCGGGGCGCACGGCGGGCAGAAAACCGCCGCGCGCCTCGGGGCGCACGGCGGGAAGAAAAACTGCCGCACGCCACGAAGCGTGCGGCACAGAGAGTAGCAGTAGCAGTTGCAGCGGAAGCAACAAGGTGGTGAGCCCACCCACAGGATCGATCCAAGGGGATCGACCTGCTCTGATAGCATGTTAAAGTTTAGAAGAAAGAAGAGAGAAAAAGAAGAAGAAGGGGGTTGCACTAGCAAGAATGAGGATACAAATAGCAAACCCTAGAAGGGTTGTACTCGCTATAGAGCACCCCACTACAGGCTAGAGCATAAGATAACATTCTGACAATGCCTGTGGACGAGTGGTGCGTGCTGTTGTAGGCGAACTCGACCATGCTCAGCTTCTTGTCCCATGCGGCTGCGTCGTGCATCGTGATGCTGCGAAGAATCTGCTCCAGGGTCTGGTTCACACGCTCAGTCTGTCCGTCTGTCTCTGGATGGTACGCAGACGACATGGCTAAGCGAGTCCCAAACAGTGCGAAAAGCTGCTTCCAGAACTTCGAAGTGAAATGGGGGTCGCGGTCTGAGATGATGGAATCAGGAACCCCGTGCAGTCGGACTACGTTATCTACGAACAGCGTCGCGACTTCCTCTGCTGTGACCTTGCCGTGCGTGGGGATGAAGTGCGCTGCTCGAGAGAACTTGTCGACTACAATGAAGATGGCGTCGTGACCCCTAACTGTGCGCGGTAAAGCCATGATGAAATCCATCGTAACAACCTGCCAAGGGCGGTCTGGTGGTGGAATCGGTTGCAAAAGTCCTGCCTTGCGCTGGCGAGAGGACTTCGTACGCTGACACGTGTCGCATGAGCGAATGTAATCCTCTACGTCTGCTGAAAGCCCTGGCCAGAAGTACGTGCGACTAAGCATCTTACCCATCTTATCTGCTCCGAAGTGACCTGCACTAACTACATCGTGCGCCTCGGAAAGAAGAAGCTGTCGAAGAGGGCTGTAGGCGGGAACCCAAATCCGTGCTGAACCCTTCCGTATGTAGACACTACCCTGCACCTCTGCTCCTGCGGGCGGCTGTGGTGTGAAGTCGGGATCCACTGTGTAACCGTGCTCGAAGAGTGCTGTGAGAAGTGGATGGCCGGCAGTGACTGTGAGACTAGCGAGCTGGCAACTAGGGCGAGTGAGCGGATCTGCAGGGTTGCGCACGCCTGGCTTGTACTCTATCCTATAGTGGAAACTCCCCTCCATGAACTCCATCCATCTAGCCTGGCGACGACTCAGCTGCGGCTGCGATTTGAGGAAACGAAGCGAGCAATGGTCCGTGCGTATAACACTATCTGCCCCCTCTAGGTAGCACCTCCAAACCTTATACGCATGGATGATCGCGAGCGCCTCCTTGTTGTGAATCGGATAGTTCAACTCCGCTCCCCTAAGCTTACGCGACTCGTATGCTATCGGCTGCAACCCACGGCCCTAGTCTTGAAGAAGCACTGCTCCAATGGCCCGATCTGATGCGTCGGTCACTACAACGTAGGGGCGGGTAGGATCCGGGTACGACAGTGTCGGTGAGTGGACTAGCTATCGATGATTCATCTGCTCGAACGCCTGCTGCTGCACTGGACCCCAATCAAAATCTACGCCCTTCCGAAGTAGGTCGGGTGAGTGGACTAGCTATCGATGCGTAACCCTGAACGAAACGACGGTAGTAATTCGCATATACGAGGAAGCTCTGCAACTCCTTGACTGAAGTCGGAGCTACCCAATCCTGTACTGCTGCGATCTTCTTCGGGTCGGTCCTAATGCCACTAGCGGATACGACGTGACCCAGAAACTCGACCTCGGGGAGGAAGAACTCGCACTTCGACTGCTTAGCGTACAACTGCTCCTTCCGCAAGACCTCGAAGACCTTCTGCAAGTGCTGCACGTGCTCCTCTTTCGTCTTTGAGAAGATCAAGATGTCGTCTAGGTAAACTACGACGAACGAACCTAGGAACTCGGAGAGGACGGTGTTCATGAGCGTCTGAAACGTCGCTGGGGCGTTGGTCAAACCGAACGGTAGAACCCTAAACTCGTACAACCCCTGCTTCGTACGAAACGCCGTCTTGTGCTGGTCCTCTGGAACTACGCGAATTTGATGGTAACCCGAACGAAGGTCGATCTTTGAGAAGACTCTAGCGCCCTGCACTGCATCGAAAAGATCCTCTACTCTCGGCACCGGGAACCTATTCTTGACGGTGGCGGCGTTTAGTGCGCGGTAATCTATGCACATCCGTAACCCTCCGTCTTTCTTGGGTGCGAAAAGGATCGGTGCTGCCCAAGGCGATCTAGATGGCTGTATGAAACCCTGTGCGAGAAAGTGCCTAACCTGCTGCGTCATCTCCCCTGTCTCCGCTGGACTCAACCTCCACTGCGGCTTCGCTACTGGTCTGCTTCCCGGCTCCAACTCTATCCGATGGTCTACTGCTCGGCTGGGAGGCAACCCTGGGGGCAACTCGTCGAGGAAGACGTCTGCGAACTCTGCTAACAGTGCACTCACCTCAGCAGGAAGAGTCGCCTTCTCACCAACTGCTGCACTCCCTCCTTTTCCCTCCTCAGCTTCCACCTCCTCAAGGAAAACCGCGAAGATCCGTGCCGCATGCTTCACCAGCTGCCGCACGCGAACAGCATTGATGATAGCTGTGGATGATGTGGCCCCATCACTCCACTATGGCAGCTCCCGGAACTCCCCGTCTACCTTGACGCTGCAGCTTCCCTGAGCCCAATCGAACTGAGTGCTAACCGTCCGTAGCCAATCCCTACCGAAGATGAAGTCGTAACCGTCCAGCGTTGCAGAGTCGAAATCACACCTAACTGTAATCGGTCCTAGCACTACGCGCAACTTGCGAATGACTGGTCCTATGTGAAGCGGCGTCCCATCTACCATACGCGCGTCCTTGAAGTTCACTGCGGAATCTGCTTCAAGATGGAGACGACTAACTAGCGATGAAGAAACGAACGAGTGGCTAGCTCCACTATCTACGAGAATCTTGACTGGAACACCGCGAAGCTTTCCTAGAAGCACGACTGGACGATCAAGAGTGTCTACCTCGTTCTCCGTAGATGACTGTTGCAAGGCCGTCTCCTCTACGTTGGTAGACTCGGCGGGTACGGAAGCCTCCACACCAGCTAGCGACCTGCTATCTACTGGCGGTTTCCGTTTCCCTGCTGCCGCTCCTTAAGCTGTGGGCAGTCCCGCTTCATGTGTCCCGGCTTTTTGCAGTAGTGACAGTTCCCCCTAAAACCCGTTCGATGTGAGCCGTCACTGTTAACTGCACCAATCTCCATGGGCGACGGTCCGTCCCTCGATCGAGCGTCGTTGATTGGTCTGTTGTATCCCCTATCGCGATCGTCACGACCCCGTCGGCTTCGTACTGCGCCGACGCGTTCTGCGGCTGCGACAACTGACTCGAAGGTGGACAACCCGTGAATCGCTATAACTTCCGCTATGTCCGGCTTCAACCCTTCGAGGTAGCGATCGCGCATCTCTGCTTCTGTGATGTCGTCTATTTCGTTGCAGATGCTCAAGAACCGTCGTGTGTACTCCTGGACATTTCCTATCTGTCGGAAATGACGCAGACGCTTCCTAGCAGCTTCGGAGGCGTTCACCAAATCGAACCTACTTTTCAGCACCGCTTCAAATCCTTCCCATGTGGTTGGAACCGTGGTAACACCCAAAGCTAAACTCCCTAAGCTCGAAGTTGCAGCTGCATGCCCCACGCCCTGTTGATGCCCGTCTGTCTGAGCCCTTCTTACAGCAGTTTGCGTGAGTTGGCGCCACCACTCCAAGGCCAGGCCCCTCAGCAGCGTAACAGAGTACTCGATCCGCTGCTGCGCGTCCGCCTCTTGTACCCCGCTCGCGGCGAAGTAGTTGTTCAGCATGAAGAGCCACGTCCGCACGTTCGCGTCGCGTTGACTTGGGTCGAACGACTCGGGTTTTTGCGGCTTGAGTGCGCTTCGACGTTCCGGCAGCGCTTCCGCGCCAGTCGACGTGTTGGGTGCAGAAGATGGTGCGGCATGACCATGAGAAATTGACGTGAATTCACGAAGCTGTTCATTTCAGCCCGTACCTGACGATTTTCCAGCGTCAACGTTTTGAGTTGGAGCATGAGTTGAGCAAGCGTGTTGCCCATGTCGTTGGGGACAGCGGTCATGGTTTCATCCATGTCGGCTCGACGACTCCAAGTCTGCAAGTCGGCACCGCGGGACGATGATGTCGTAGTCTCGTCGTCGACGGTCGCTCGTTGGAAGTCGCTCCCCGCGAAGGCTCTTGATACTAAGTCGCCCGCTGGCCCAAATCCGCTAAAGATTAGCGGGGTCGACTAAGTCGAGGATAAAACACGGCGGAAGACTTTGGCGAAAGAACTATTAGCGAAATAGGCGAAGAAGTTACTGAGTAATAATTGAATGAGAATTGGTTGAGAAAGAATTGATATTGGCAAGTACAAGAGAGGTTTATATAGCGAACAAGAGAGAATGTTGGAAAGTAGTTTGTGGGACTATGAATTGGAAAGCTAGAAGAGTAGAGTGCCACGTGGCACAAGGAAATCTGGGAAATCCCAAATGGATTAGACGAAGATAAGGTTGGGATTAGGTTGGGGGACTATTTAGGGTAAAATACCCTTGAACGGTAAAGTACCCCGTAACATTCCCAGTGTGGCCATTCCCTTACCAGGAATCCCGTTTTTAGTAACACTCTGCCGTCACCTCTCCCTCACTCCCCGCCGTCGCCTCTCCTCACTCCCTACTGTTGCCTCTCACTCCCTCCCTGCCGTCGCTCTCCCTTCCTCCTCGTCGTCGCCTCTCCCTCCCTTCCCGCCGTCGCCTTTGGTGGGTGCACGAGCACGAGTGCGGGTTGCTGCACGACCGCGCATTGTTTTTGTAGGCACGGTTGTCTCAGGTGCGTTTCCTTCTCCCTTCGGAAATGTCCAATATTTTCCACTTTCCTTGTAAGTTCTCTATGCCGATTAGTCTCCTCTTAGCATTGTGCCTCCATTTTAAGAAGGGGAGAGCGGGAGTGTGAGGGAGTGTGTGCGCACGGGAGCCAGCACGCAGGAGCGCTGACGCCTTACGCGCTGGCGCTAAACGCGCTGGCGCTTAGCGCGCTGGCGCCTGGCGCGCTGGCGTTTAGCGCGCTGCCGCCAAACGCCCTGGCGCCAAGCGCACTGGCGCCTAGCGCGCTGGCGCCTAACGCGCTGGCGCCAAACCCGCTGGCGCCTAGCGCGCTGGTGCCTAACACGCTGGCGCCAAGCGCGCTGGAGCCTAGCGCGCTGGCGCCTAACGCGCTGGCGCCAAATGCGCTGGCACCAAACGCGCTGGCGCCTAACGCGCTGGCGCCTAGCGCGCTGGCGCCTAGCACGCTGGCGCCTAACGCGCTGGCGCTTAGATCGCTGGCGCCTAGCGCGCTAGAGCTTGACGCGTTGGCGCCAAACGCGCAGGCTCCTAGCGCGCTGGCGCCTAGTGCGCTGGCGCCTAACCCGCTGGCGCCTAACGCGCAGGCGCCAAACCCGCTGGCGCCTAGAGCGCTGGCGCGTGACGCGATGGCGCCTATCGCGCGGGCGCCTATCTCGCTGGCTGGTGCCTATCGATCTGGCGCCTATCGTGCTGGCGCCTATCCCGCTGGTTGGCGCCTATCAATCCGGCGTCTATCGCGCTGGCGACTGTCGCGCTGGCGCTTGTCGCGCTGGCGCCTGTCGCGCTGGCGCCTGTCGCGCTGGCGCCTGTCGCGCTGGCGCCTATCGCGGTGGCGCCTATCGCGCTGGCTGGCGCCTGACGCGCTGGCGCCTAACGCGCATTCGCCTAGACCGTTGGCACGTAACGCGCTGGCGCCTATCGCGCTGGTTCATATCCCCCTGGCTGGCGCCTATCGCGCTGGCGCCCGTCGCGCTGGCGCCTGTCGCGCTGGCGCCCGTCGCGCTTGCGCCTGTCACGCTGGCGCCCGTCGCGCTGGCGCCTGTCGCGCTGGCGCCCGTCGCGCTGGCGCCTGTCGCGCTGGCGCCCGTCGCGTTGGCGCCTGTCGCGCTGGTGCCCGTCGCGCTTGCGCCTGTCGCGCTGGTGCCCGTCGTACTGGCGCCTGTCGCGCTGGCGCCCGTCGCGCTGGCGCCTGTCGCGCTGGCGCCCGTCGCGCTGGCGCCTGTCACGCTTGCGCTTGTCTCGCTGGCGCCTGTCGCGTTGGCACCTGTCGCGCTGGTGCCTATCGCGCTGGCGCCTAACGCGCATTCGCCTAACCCGCAAGCGCCTAGAGCGCTGGCGCGTAACGCGCTGGCGCCTATCGCGCTGGCGCCTCATGCGCTGGCGCCTCATGCGCTGGCGCCTAACGCGCCTTTCCCGCTGACGCCTAACGCGCTGGTGCCTATCGCGCTGGCGCCTGTCGCACTTGCGCCTATCGCGCTGGCGCCTGTCTCGCTGGCGCCTGTTTCGCTGGCGCCTGTCTCGCTGGCGCCTAACGCGGTGGTGCCTGCCGCGATGACGCCTATCGCCCTTGCGTTTAACACGCTGGCCCCTAGCACGCTAGCACCTGTCGCACTGGCGCCTGCCGCGCTATCGCCTAACGCGCTATCGCCTAACGCGCTGGCGCCTAACACGCTGGCGCCTAACGCGCTGGCGCATATCGCGCTGTCGCCTAACGCCTTTGCATCTATCACGCTGACGCCTATCGCGCTGGCGCCCAAGGCATTGGTGCATAACGCGTGGGCGCCTATCGCGCCGGCGCCTTAAGTGCCCGCAACTTTGGCAATGGCGACTCTTCCTTAGTCCTCTCGGGCATGCCTTAGCGTTTGGTGCTAAGCTCGTTAGCCCTAGGATGCTCACGCCTTAGGTGTTGGTGCCTTGGGCGCGTTGGCGCTTATGGGTGTTGACCCGGCGACCTAGAGCGCTGGCAGTAGTAGCACCATGGGCGTTTATGCCTTGGACGACTTTGTTGTGCTTTTGGAGTTGGCGTGTTTGCGCCTAGAACTCTAGGTGTGTTTTTGGTGCCAATACCTTCCCATTACCATTTTTTCTCCCTTTCCTTTCTTCTTCTGTAGGTGATACATCCCGTGCATGTTAAGGTGGTGTGCGTGATGCCTTGAAACCATATGTGTGAGTCGTCAACTTGGATTTGCCTCCCGAATTCATCCTTTAGCAATCTATTGCATCATTTTGAATAGCACTTTCCATCATGCGTTACTGTTTTTGATGCAGCGCGCTGGCGCCTTGCTTCAGTGCGCTGGCGCCTTGCTGCAGTGCACTGGCGCCTTGTTGCGGTGCGCTGGCGCCTTACATAATTCACTTCACCCACTCACATCCGTATATTTCTTGCGTGACCTGTGTTTTGCAGGATGTGCAAGCCGTTTTGTGGGAAGCAGAATGTGGAAGGCGAGGGAAAGAGTTGGCAAAACGTGGGGACAAAGAGGGAAGGGGAAAAGGGATGGAAGGGGGAGCAGGCTAGCAGTGATTGTTACGTTTTCAGCTTTTTGCGACTCTTTGTTATGCTTGTTTGCTCTCTCTCCTCATTGTATGTATGTGTGTGTAAATATATGTGCGTCAGTGCATGTGTGTGTGAGTGTATTGTGTGTGCGCGTGTATCGTGTGTGCGTGGGTGGTGCTAAAGCTAGGATCTAGGTGAGAATGGGGATTAGGTAAGGGAGAGAGAGTACAAGAGTATCGAGAGAATTGGGTTGTACCCTCTAAGGGATGACCCCTACACAACCTAGAGTGAAATAGACATAACTCTATGTTTTGACACACCCCCATAGGTGAAGTAGGGGATAGCCAAACCTAACAGTGGTCACAAGACCAGTCAAGCAAGAGAACAAGCAAGGCAAAGCCCAGGGTGGATCTCAAGGACACCACACAATCTGAGCACAAGCAGGCGGCCACAAGGCCAGTTCACATGCAAATTTATAATAGCAAGGCAGTACACCGATCACAACCTAGCAAGAGTAAACATGCAGGTATAAAAGATATAGAGAAGTGTACAACAAGAGCAAGTCAAGCAACCAGCAGGTGAGGCAGAGTGGGCACAAGCCCAAGAGCAGTGCAGAAACGCTGATGATCACCAGCCCCAAGGGCCTTGGTGAAGACATCAGCAGTGTTGGCCCGAGAGGCCACGAAAGCAAGGCGCAGCTGACCACGCTGCTGTAGCTCACGCGCAAGAAAGTAGCGCAGAGCAATGTGCTTCATTCTGTGCTCCAGTCTCTGCTCGCGACACAAGGCAAGCATTGCCTTGTTGTCGACGTACAGAACTGGAGGAGAACGAGGCCGCTCCCCCAAGTCGGTCAGCAGGTAGGTCAGCCAGCGGAGCTCCTGTGCAGCCATGGCCCCAGCGTAGATCTCGGCCTCACAACTGGAACCAAGCACAGAAGAAGAACGAGTGGACCTCCACGAGACAGATCCAGCGCCAAGACTGAAGGTGTAGCTCTGTGACGAACGCTGAGTCGCCTGGTCGTCGGCCCAAGAAGCGTCAGAGTGTCCAGTGAGGACCACCGAACCCCGTCCTCCAAGCACGAGCCCCATGCCCGATGTGCTGCACAAGTAACGCAGTACCCTCTTCGCAGCAACAAAGTGCACCTTTCGGTGCCTACCGGGTGCCACGTAGCGAGCCAGAAGGCTGAGAGGGTACGCGAGGTCAGGTCGTGTGCACGTCATCAGGTACATGAGGCAGCCCACAAGCTCTGGGTACGGACCACTCGGCTCTACGGACTCGTCCGAAGGTGGAGCTGAGAGCGAGTGGCCGGTAGCCAGAGGAGTGGGCTGTGGCGAGGAGTACGTGAAGCGGAAGCGCTGAAAGACCTGGTGCACCATGTGTGACTGAGTGAGGGTGATGGTGCGCCGTGGTCTGTCCCGGGTGATCTGCAAGCCAAGATAGCTCCGCAGCTCACCCAGGTCAGTGCAGGTGTGTCTCTCCTGCAGCTCCGCCTTCACTAGGGTCAGTGCCTCAGTGTTAGCAGTAGCAAAAACCAAGTCGTCGACGTACACGAGGATGTAGAACGGCGGCAGAGTAGTGTCGGTGCGTAGAAACAGCGACGAGTCAGCAGTCGAAGGAGCAAACCCAAGAGCCGCAAGTGTCGTCCTCAGTGTGTCGTGCCACTCATGGGGCACCTGACGCAGGCCGTACACTGGTCGCCGTAGGCTCCACTGGGTACCCGCAGGAAACGACCCAGTGAAGCCCTGTGGACGGCGCAACCAGATGGCCTCATGAAGGCTACCCTGCAAGAAAGCTGTCGAGAAGTCGAGGGAGTGCAGCTCGTAGTCACGCTGAGCTGCAACGTGTAGCAACACCCGAAGAGTGGTCATCTTCGGGGTGGGGGAGAAGGTCTGAAAGAAGTCGACCCCCTCACGCTGACTGAAGCCTCGAGCAACGTAACGTGCCTTGAAGGCAGGCGGAGAACCCGGCGGCCGCTTCACCCAGAAAATCCACATGCCACTGACGATGTTCGCCCCAGGTGGGGGAACCTCGTCGACGTAGGTGCCTGTGGACTTCCAGGAAGCCATCTCTGCGTCCATGGCTGTCTGCCACTGAGAGGAGTACTCACCCGAAATCGCCTCCGTGTAGGAGCGCGGGGTGGGGATGTCAAGTGCATCCGGGTCTCCCTCAGGGGCAAGCAGCATGGTCGCGTGATGGGGTGAAGCGGCAGCAAGGCACTCCAGCTCCTCCTGTCTGTCCTCAAGAACGTCACAGCCAAGGGCAATACAGCCAAGAGCAGTCTCACCCCCGACGGACGGAGGACAGGCAGGGACAGGGTCAGAGACAAGACTCGCAAGGTAGTCTAGGCGGTACACAGCAGCAAAGTCAACGAGCTCAGCTACTAGGGCAGACGCAGCAAGAGACGAGAACGTAGGGTCCGTCACAACCGTAGCAAGAAGGCGAGTAACAGTCGGACTGGACGCACGAGCAAGGTCAGACGGAGGGTCAGCAACGTCAGGCAGAGAGGACGCAGGAGGTAACAGTAGTACAACACGCTGAGGAACAGAGGAAAGACGGAGTGTCATATCGTGAGTGCCGGGGACAGCCGGAGCACGCGGACGACGAACACGAGGAACACGAGCACGAACAGCAGCTCTAGGCTCAGGCTCAAGGTCAAAGCTAGACTCAGGTTCTCGACGCTCAGGGGTGGAAGCACGAGTCACAGGCTCTCGACGCTCAGTCAGGGACTCTGACACCGCAGTGTAAGGAGAAGGAGCAGGCAGTGGGGAGTGTGGTAGCAGCGGTGGCTGTGACTGGTCCGCTAGCGGACACAGCAACGGGGGAGTAGTACCTGCCACAGGGAAGCCAGTAGCACCTGGCGGAAGACTGAGAAGGTGGCGAAGAGCACCAGTAGCTCCCGTACCTCCAGCACAAGCAGCTCCTCCAGTACCCCCAGCAGCACCTCCAGCACCAGTAGCACCAGCACCTCCAGCACCACGAGCTCCGACAGCGCCAGCACCTGCAGTACCAGCACCTCCAGGGTCAGCAGCTCCCGCAGCTCCCGCAGCTCCATCACCAGTAGCACCAGCACCTCCAGTGCCACCAGCTCCAGTACCTATAGCGCCGGCAGCAGCTCCAGTACCCCCAGCACCAGCAGATCCAGTACCTCCTGCACCAGCAGCACCTCTAGTACCTCCATTAGGACCTCCAGGCCTAGTAGCTCCAGTACCTCCAGCTCCAAAAACTTCTGAAGGACTCGCAGCACCCCCAGAGTCAGCACCCGAAGTCTCAGCACCCCCAGTCCCAGGACCCTCAGGCTCAGCACCCTCAGTCACAGCACCCTCAGTCCCAGCACCCTCAGTCTCTGCTCCAGTGTCCACAGCAGTAGGCTGCAGAGGCAGCGAAGACGGCAGAGGTGGGAACCCGGGGGGGGTAGCCAGACGAGGAGAGCGGGCACCCCCAGACTCACCACCCCCAGCCCCAGCTCCAGTAGTCTCAGCTCCAGAGTCCACAGCAGCAGGCTGCGGAAACGGCGAAGATGGCCGTGGCGGGAAACCCGGGGGGGTCGCCAAGTGAGGAGTGTGGCGAGTGGTCGCCGTGTCGTCGGCGACGGCGTCACCCCCCTCAGGTGAGTCAGAGGAGTCAGAAGAGATCTCAACTGGCTCATCCAAGGGGGGTGGGTCTACCTGGGACACACCTGAGGGAGCAGGACCCTGTGGGGGGAGGGGGTCTACCGGGGGGGGGACTGGTACCAGGAAGAGGGGTGCAAGGGGGACCGGGTGGGACGCGTGCGGGTGAAGTCGGTAGTAACAGACCGACTCGTCGAAGGTGACGTCCTGAGAGGACAGAACACGACGCGAGGCAGGGTGGTAGAACTGCCAGGGTGGAGCGTCGCTGGGGAAGCCCAGGAAGACACAGCGGAGAGTGCGAGGAGAGAGCTTGCTCGCTTTGGTATCGCGAACAAGGGAGAGCGCGCCCCAGACCCGAAACGACGACGCATCACCAGGCTGTCCTGTCCAACGAAGTGTGGGCGAGGTCTCTGGAGCAGAGACACGGGGCCAGAGGTTGAGCTGATGCGCGGCGTATTGGACCGCAAACGGCCACAGGAAATAGGGAGTAGCCGCATGGATCATGGAGGTACGAGCAACCTCCATGATCAGGCCAATGCGACGCTCAGCGATCCCATTCTGCTGCGGAGAGGCCGGAAGCGTGAACGACTGGGCGATGCCCTCATCCTGGCAGAACGTCTCAAGGACGCCAGAAGAGAACTCACCTCGCCTGTCAGAGTGCAGACGCAGGACTGGGAAGTCCTGCTGAAAGCGCTCGTGTA